TTGTCATCCGTGCATTCATATTTGTCATTTACATTTTAATTGTCATGCATATATTATGTTCATGTATATCATTTACATGTTTTACGAATAAAGTATTTTAAGAAAATGTTTTCTTAAAAAAAAGGTAAATAAAATAAGATAATGTTTTAAGTAAAAGTAATTCTTGAGATCTAGCCTATATATAGGAGAATTCTCAACTATTATCATTTACGAGGAATATTATCTTGGTTTTTGTGGGGCATTATGAAAACTCTTAAAGTAAAGGGATTTTTTTTTTAAATTTTACCTAAATATAACGGAATAAAGGAGTTGTTTCAATACTTAACATTTTTCTTGTTGATCTAAAATAATTAGCTTTGTTTTTAAGAATTTAAAAATAAAATAATTTATTTTTAAAATACAAAATTTAAAATGATTTGATTTCAAGAAATAATTTTGGACGGAATAAATAAAATTTAAAGAATTAATTTGCAAATATTAAAGTTAGGACCATTTTTACAAAAAATGCAAGGATATCAATTAGTACCTTTTTTTACAGGCACTTTGGGGGTACAATATTGGGTAACCAAACTTTCGAACCCAATTTTGTTTTTGAAGATCAAAATATCTTTTTAATAAACTCTTAACTTGTTTTATTTTTTTATTAAAATGATAAACTTTTCGATGACCAAACGCACTTTTAAAAATTATTGGTGGTGACTCATTTATCTTTGATGAGATTTTTAAAATGTTTTTCATGTTGTGCAGTTAAGTTCTTGGACACGCATGTTACAACACTAACCATGATTACAATTAGCAGTAATAGTTTCATAAATTAGGGGTGGGCATTCGTCAATCCAATACATATCCATCTTAATACATGTGCATGTTTGGCCAACTTTTGTATTGCTTTATTGGCAACATGTTTAGTGTGAACTATTCAAAAAGATCAAAAAATCATTTGAAGTAGGTGAAGGTCTTCCATAATAATTTCAATAATAAACAGACACCGATGTTAGCTTGAGCCAAAAATCCACCCACTTCTTCCATTCGATTCTTTTTTTTTTCAATTATCCTATTAGTTTGTCTAAAAACCACCAAAACACTCCAAATCAGACCTAAAACTTTTGATTTTGCACCATAAAAAAAAAAGCCCATTGTCGATCACATGATTGCCGCATGAGACTATATCCTCTCCATGGCCTAGACCTCGTCCTCCCCAAAAATCAAGCTTCAAAATCATTCCAAACACCCTAAAATTGAAACCCACTCTTTAATTTTATTTTTTTTTGGCACTAAAGCTTCCAACCTGGGGACGTGCTTTTTATTTTTTTATTTTTCTATTATGTTTTTTTTTTTCAATTGTTATGCAGTTAGGGCTATTTGGTGGTTCAAAGAGGAGCTTGTGGTGAATTAAGGCTAGAGCTATTTAGTGTTGTGAATGGGGATTGTTGGGGTGTGAGGCTCAACTAGTGATTGGTGTAAATAGAAGTGGTGTTCTTGGTTGAGGCCTTAGGATAGAAGGCTAAGGTTTTCAAGGGTGACAGGGCTAAGGTTGATTGGTGGTTTAGAAAAGGGCTATGGTGAACCAGGGCTAGGGCTGTTTGGTGTGTGAATGGGTTGTTTGGATGTAAAGCTCAACTAGTAATTGGTGCGGGCATGAGTGGTCTTAGTTGAGGCCCAAGGAACGAAGGTTGAGGTTTTGAGAATTTTTTTGTTCCCCCCTTTTTGTTGTGAATTACTCTTAGCCTTTTAATATGTGAATTCATAATGTACAAAATAGCAAAAGATGTAGGGTAATGGAGGACTATTATGGCCAGAATTAGGTAGCTTCCTACCTTGGAACAGTGGTTGCTGATTACTAATTTTTGTTATTTTTTTTGTAATTTTTGATTAATTTAATTAATTCTAAATGAAAATAAAAATTAGATGGGGCTTTTAGAAAATGAACGTCGACTTATTGGCTTTTGGGCTTCTAGGTCCATATTATGATTTAATCTAAAGCTGAATTAGGCTTTTACACTTAAACTTAAAATTGATCAAATAATTAAATGGAATAAAATTTGAGTTCATACAAAAATATTCAAAGTGATTAATTCGAAACAAAGCCTAATCGCACTTGATTCGATAAATCTAACACAGATTGAAACATTCAAATTAAATACCAAAAATCGAACAAATTTGAATTGATTCGGATAAAATTAGATATCTACATTTAGTAATGTCAAATTTTATCATATCTTATGGAAAATTTGATTTTTAACCGAAAGTTGATGGAGATGGTTAGATAAGTATTAAATTTTGGGGATAAGGATAGGAATGGGTTTGAGTTTAAAATTTTTATTGAGTACGATGACAGAAATGGATAATATAGCACCCATCCCATATTCGTACCCTATATATATTTTTATATATTTAGTAAATAAATTTTTTATTTAATAATATAAATTTTATTTTAAATAAATTAGATCTAATATATTTTTATTTAAAAAATAATTTTATTTTTTATTTTTTAAAAAAGTTATGATTATGAGAATCACTCGTACCTATTAAATTTTCGCTAAAATGAAAATGAAGATAAAATGATATATCTATTAGAAATAGTGATAGGTTTAATATATTATATATATAAAGGATGGAGATGGAAAATATTCTATTCACTCATACCCGACCAAATCAAGATAATTGTTTTAGTGTAAATTAACATAATTATTATGTAAATAAACATATGTTAATTATTTAAAATTTGAGTTTAGTTCCAATATTATAGGAAAACGTTTGATTTAGTGTTTATAATATTATTATTTGTATAAATTTAGTTTTTTCTATAATTGAATTTTTCTTAAATGTGAAAATTTCAAGAATCAATTCTTGATTACTGAAAATAAAAATAAAATATTTTATCAATAAATCACCTGTCTGTCAACTACAAATTGAATCTTATCTTTGTAATTGAATATTCTTTATTTCAATATGAGGATTAATTTTATTTAAATAAAACTAAAACAGCATAATTGAAGGAGGCAAAAGTTTGAGAAGTGATTTGCACATTCCACTAAAATTCCAAAGTCAAAATGAGCAAATACATCCAAAAACTTTACTACTTGCTATAGGGAAGAAAGGGCTCGGAGGAAACTAAGTTGTGCAACATTGCACTTCGAGAAGAAATGAAATGAAATTCACATAATCCTGGCGCCCAATTGACAGCCACAGGTCTAAATTGAATAGATTTCTTTTTTTTTTCTTTTCAAATTCAATTTATATGACTAATGCATTCTTTTTTTTAAAAAAAAAAAAAAGAAAACCAATTATGAGTGCCCAAATTGGTGACTAAGATTAATTGGACTTGCAAAGAATACTATTTATGATGTATAGTTAATTTTTAGCATTTTAATTTCATTTTTATTAAAAAAAATACAATTTCATATCTACACCTAAGACTTACCTAATCTTACTAAAAGATAGGGTTAATTAAGTTTGTTAATGTATTTTTATATCCGAATTTGAGCTAACTCATTCGCCCTCCCATTTTTAAATCAACATGTGATTTAAATATATAAGAATATATCCAATATTATTTGATTAGATATTTAATAATCATTTCTCCAGTAATTCAATATTTCTTTTGGTAATTTAACCTGCAGTAACTGTATTCAGTTATGCTAGTCATTGTGTCAAACCAAATAAAATTTCTCTTAATTTTTCTTTTCATTTTAACAACAAAAGGGGATAATTTTGGCTGAGATGTTTGATTGGAACCCTAATTCTCCATTTATCGAAAAAAGAAAATAAAAAAATCTTAGTATATGTTTTCTTTCAAAGAAATTTTATTATAGATAAGCTGTTTCTACATAAATGTTAAGAATTGCCTTTTATTAAAATAGTAACATTCATTAATAAGGTTAAAATCAAAATCATTTTCTTATAAATATTATCTTAACTTTTTATATTTAAAAAGATGACATGAGTAAAACAAAATTTTTATGGATCAATTTATTTATAATTTTTTAATTTTTTATCATAATTTAAAATTATATAAGAGACGCCCATGAAGTATTAGCTTAATGATAAGGAAAAAGTTTTTTAAATTTTATATTCAAGTCTTACAATGTATATTTTATGTTAAATTTGTTTAATTTTATTCTATTTTATTAATTTTTTTATTTGTTTAATTATTTTTTAATATTTAATTATGTTTGTAACTTACATTTAAAATTTAAAAAAAATTAAAAAAATATCGCTTATAAGTATTAACTTCATATAAAATATTGATGAATCTCATATAATTTTTAAATTATAATTAATTAATTAGAATAAATAATTATATTTATATACTCAATTTTTATATTTGTGTAAAAAAAATCTTACATATATTAAAATTTTCTTTCTTAGGAGATAATTAATTGTAAGGGGATAGTCATTTTTGTTTTAATTTTTTTTAGGTTTAATAAAAAAATAAATTGGATAATAAGGAAGAAAAGGAAAAAGAGTTTAAAAAAATAAAATAAAGAACTCTTAAAAGTGCACCTGACCCAGTCTAGCTATGCACGTCATTCCAAATTTAAATTAATGAAGCGTACATATATTCTATTAATGTTAGTTGTTATTAATATATATAGACGTAATCAAAATTATTTTAAAACTTATTTTTGTTATATATGTTTTAAAAACTAAAATACTTATATATAATTATTTTTAAAATGTAAATAAAGTATGATGTAAATATAAATTATGACTTTTATAAAAGTTAAATCAATTCTTTTAAAAAATAAATATTTTGATAACATAAATATTAATATATGAAATATACAATAATTACATCTTTCAGAACTTGATGATATAAATTATGTAATTTACAAATAATTAATTTTATATACATAATACAAATATATAATAATTTTACATGATCTTTTAATTCTCGACCACGCATCGAACTAGTAAATAAATAAAAGGCATGTCTGATAATGATGATGATGATGATGATGTGTCCTATTCGTAATCCCACCATATACTTAAAATCATTTCTGAGGCCAGTTGAAGGATATACTTGCAGTGAGGATATTTTGTCTACAAATACAAAATATCTTCAGTCATCAGTCATCTTGGTATGCGCATGTGAAAGTACAATTGCAATGCCCTTTCTCTTACACTTCGGGTTGGCCTGTTAAAAAACAGAACACATGATGAGCCTGGCTTCAACAACCTCCACCTCCTCAGCCTCCTATCTGCTCTCCACAGCCCTTTGCACAGCGAGAAGAACCTCTCTTCCGCTCTGCCAAACTCATCATCAGCTCCGCTTCCTCTCAACTTTTGTACGGTTCACTTTTCATTTTTAACTCTTTCTCGCATCTTAATTCCTAGATTATAGAACTTGAAAATTTAATTTTGGAGGTCTGGGATTCAAACCTTGAACGAAATATCAGAAATAGTTCCACACAAGAACCTTGTCTACTGTTTTAATATCCAAATTGTTTCTCAAATTGATCATATAAAAATATCTGCAAATTCTGACTTTAAAATTTCAGTTTATGTTCAGAGAAAATGCAATTTAAATTGGCAGAGATCATTAGGGAAGAATACAGAACAAAGAGTAAGGTCTAGTGCTGTGGGAGTGGAAGATGAAGCATGTGAGTTAGTGAACGGGGTGGAGATTTCCATTGGGGAAGGCGATGATAACATCCAAGCTTTTCTCTTTAAGGCAGTGAAGAATAATAATGGAACAGGTTTGTTGCTCTTATCTGATGTCTTTGGGTTTCAAGATTCAGCCACAAGAGATTTTGCATACCAGGTTGCCTGCCATGGTTACAAGTATGTTTCTTAACCTTGAAACACTCAAGTTTTTTCTGCTTATTTATCCTACCTTAATTTGGGGTTTACACCTAATTTTATATAATATTTTGCTATTGACAAAACATATCGAGATTCCCTACCTCATTCCATTATCTTGTTGTGAACTTGTGAACTGTACTTTGTACTTGAGATTTCTGTATTAGCAGCCAAAGGGTAGGAGAGGGTAGAAGAAGGGGTTGGAGGTGTCAGAATTTAAACCCGAGATTTACTAAATATCACTTTTTAAAGACAAGTACATGAACCGATTGAGCTAATCTTCGAATTCAATAACAGACTTAAATAGCAAATAGTTTGTTGAGATATTTCAATTCTATAAAAATTTGTAAATAGATGTGTCTGTTTTGAAAAATATATCAAGGTCTTCCAAATAATGATGCATTGTCGATGTCTAGGATATAATAATCACTGAACTTCCAACCATTTCGCGTGCGTCTTGGACAATACTCTGATACCAAAACAAGCATCCATGCCCTTGTTTCCAACCGTCTCAACTCTCAAAGTATAATGTCACTTTTCTTTTATGCATTGTTTTTATATCAAGATTAGACACTATTTCTTCTTGATTGAATGAAATTGCAGTGTCCTTGTTCCGGACCTATTTCGTGGTGATCCGTGGGCAAAGGGCCGGCCGAAAACAATGTTTGAACAATGGATGGCTAGCCAAGACCCTCAGAGGGTTGCAAATGACATTGCTTCCTCGACAAAATGGTTGGTTGATGAATTTACAGCAGCAGGAATTTCAAAGAAACTTGGTATTATTGGATTTTGCTTTGGAGGTGGCCGAGTGATAGACGTTTTAGCAGCAGACCAAGGTGCTTGTTTCAGCATTGCTGTCTCATTTTATGGTACCAGGATGGATCCCTCAGCAGCATATAAAGTAAAGGTGCCTGTCTTGTTCATTTCAGGAGAAAATGACCCGGTTTGTCAGGTAAGCGTTTTGAGTGAGTTTGAGAAGAGCATCGGAAAGGGGTCTAGGGTGGTAATCTTCAAGGGAAGAGGTCACGCCTTTGCCCATCGACCTGGATCTCCTGAAGAGGATGCAGATGCAGAGCAGGCCTTTACATTAATGAATAATTGGCTACATGATGGCCTAGTTGTAAATAGCTGAGGTTGAATTGGTTATGGTTTTCTTGTTCATTTCAGACATACACTGTTTATGGTTTATCCTGTATGCTGTTAAAAGGTAGATCCGATGCCGCTGAACTGATCATGACTGGTGCATCTTTCTCACTATGCTCTCTGAATAATCGTGCTAAACCGGTGAATCGTTTTTGGGTTGATGTTTATGCCAGCGAATGTACGTAAGTAATGCCTTTTTCGTATCATTTGCATGAATTTCCATGATTTTTTTTTTCTTGAAAGCTAACATGTCATTCTTTGTTGGCCATCATCGAAAACCAATTTGAGTTCTCTTACAAAATACAATTGATGAATAATTGATTTAACTCCCATGGATTCACGAACAAAGAGGAAGAAAAATTGCATATTGACAAAGAAACGAGGGCATGACTTAGTGAGACTAAACTTGAACAGTAAATGCAATTGAAATAAAGGGATTCAGAGAAGCTGTTTGATTTGCTGATAAGAGGTAGATTCCAATTTTACACCTGCATATCTTTTGCCATTTTTGCCTTCTAGCATAGAAGCTGATTGGAGAATACAATAGAGAGCAAACTTGACGTAACTGAACAGCAAAATGTGTCCGGGAGATATTATACACTTGAAAAAAAATATATTTTTATCGGATCTGTGTCCAAATTGCAAAGAAGTTGCTTTTACCTTTAGAATGTTCATTCCTAACTCAAAAAAAAAAAATTTTTGGATTATTGAAGTTTTATTCCAAGGGAGACCTGCAGAGTTTCAGACCGAAAAAAGCCAGAAAAAGCTGCAGACTTACCAGGCTCAACTTATACAAAGATCATTGGTAAGAATAATAGAAGATGAAATAATACTAGCACGAGCATCAATCACAATTTGGAGTTGCTGGTTTTCCGGAATAAAGGTTTCTAGAATGCAGTCTAAAATTGTGTTGCTTCCAAGTATGATAAACGTATGCTGTCCAGCCAGGTCTAAGCAAAATAGAGTAGGAAGATTTTATTTTCAGAACCAATTTCGCAACCCAAGTCAGATTTGACCGACGCCCAACTCAACTAACCATTTAAAAATGAAAAATAAAAGCTCCAAATCGCAATCTAATTTGGATTTAATGAAATCGGTTCAGTTTGATCCTAACCTAAATAGACCAATTGAGCATTCATAGAATTCCTAAAACTAGGCCGGGCTTCACGTGGTTAAACCCTCAAATCCCCACCCAGCAAAGTTTGGAAAAAAATTGATCACCATGCACAAAGGATAAGAAAACAAGAAACAATATCAGCTGTTATGAACAAGTTGCTTTAAAATCATATTTTCTTCTTTCCTTTCCTCTTATTTATGTCCGACTGAAACATGGAAAGACATTCAATCATAGCTTCTTACAAATGCAAAGAAAATTGATCGGGTGCTCAGGCTAACTTGCTCTATTTTGCATGAACTTAGTTGATATAAGTTTGAAGATTATGTTTGGATTGAATGAAGAGAACGAAATGGGAGGGAGGGAACTTGTAATTTTTTTTAGCATTAAACAAAAACATGTGGCTTTTGGAGGTTTAATTGCATTCAACCACAACCCTCTAAAACTTACATTTTGACAAAATTCTACAAATTAAAGTAATTTTGGAAGGCAGACTTCTCTCCCTCTCTTCCCCTCACAATTCCCAAACATAAGCTAATCTAGATTTTCTACAACCTTTTGTATTGTACCTGGGTCAAAATTCCATTTTACTCTGTCTACCCAAAGTTCAGCTGCGAGTCCACGACTGACCACTCTTCATGTAGTTGTACCAAAGAAAATGAGAAAGCAGAAAATAAAGGGGGTGGGAGAAGAAAAAATATAAGATTAAGAGATACAAACTATGACCTACACAAACATCCTTAACTTTCCTACGCCATAAGGCAGCTGAAAAGTAACTCTATTTATCAGGTACTCAACAGACAGAATAAGTGCAACTGTAAATAATAATCACACAAAATTCAAGCCCACAACAGAGGGAATTATTTTCATTTTTCTCTCCAAATTGTGTTAAATCATGATAGAATTACAGAGCAAAAGACAACAGGAGTCATACCAAATTTTTGGTGCATCATTTTAATTGTTTACCCACCAACAATGTTTGTACTAAAAATTTAAAAGACGTTGCTGGGGAAAAGACTAACACCATCAACATATGAAAATTCTGAATTCAAACGTGTCTAACTTAGAGGAACTTCAACAACATCAACTCACCCCTGTCAATCCTGGAAACAGAAAGAGAACTAAATGAACTTTCTTATACAGATTCTTGAAACATATATTAAGTAGAGTAATAGACACATAAATTAAATTTGACAAACATGCTTCATATGCTGATTTTAGAGAAATAGTGAGACTTAATAGACTGCTAGTAAATGAGTTAGAAAAATTGACAACTTCATCTACTTGAGACATAAATAGTGCTTAAACTGCCAACTCTACATAATCATCATCCAAGAGACTGGGTGGCAAAGAACCAACTAGCCTTTATGACCTAGGAAATTGGCTTGCTTGTGCACCGCCACTAATGTTTTCCCTTGGGTGGAACAGATTTCATAATGTAGAAAGCTGTTCCACTAATGCTTTTCTTAAAGGTTCAAGATTCTCTAAGTAAATTCCATTAACTAGTTCAGTTTTTAAATATTCTGGGAAATTTCATCTTTTTGGAGTACCATATCCAATTTGCCAGTTGTTTAATAATATATAATGGTTGTTTCAGTCCACAGCAGTTATTAAAGATATATAAGATGAAAATAATAAATCTCGGTAAGATGGCTAAAGTATCTGTTGGATTGCAAGAAAAAGATGTAGAGAGAAAGAGAGAGAGGCAAGGAAGGAGAGCACCCTATACTTTTCAATGTTTCAATCAATGGTATGGTATAATACTAGGTTGGTAATTTACATACAGGTATTTTCCTGTCCCCTTTCTAAGCCAATGCCTATATGCAAGTAGCAATAACAAAAAAATAAAAATAAAAATAAAAACCAAAACCTCTACTCAAACAGCTCAAATGCATAGTACGAGAAAAGTTACTGTCACTAAATCAGACAGAACTGATGTATACCAACTTTTCAGTATTACCAAAAAAAACTCCAACTTTCACTATTGAAACATCATGTGTTTGACCCTAAGAACTAGTCTTTCTCTCTTCCAGTTATTGAACTTACATGCAAATCAAATGCAAGTACTAATAATAAAACATATTAGCTTAGCAGTTTACGTCAAGATCCAGCAAGAATTAAGAGTATACACTGAGATAGTGCTAAAAAAGGCAGCAAACAAGACAAGTTGAACCAAATGTCTGAATTATCCAGGTTTAGCTAACCTTGAACTAAATGAATCCTAGTTGCTCTTAGGACTGCCTAGTACTATAAATATTGTACCAAGAACTCAGCAGACTTCAAAAAACAATCACAAAGAGTCATTGTACTCAAGCTTTTTTTCACTTTTTTGAACTCAGTATCTACAAATCCTTCCTAGCGATTGGATAACATTCTCAGCTTGCATAGGCAATAATTTATACAGAGACCTGCGGTCCTATTCAAATATAAGTGATATGATCAATCCTACATTTTTGCATAGAAGGGTGAGGGGAACAGCTCTTCTCTCCTTAAAACTCTGTACACCCCCTTCAATTTATTTCACTATCAATCATAATCTTTAATTTACAAGGGCTAAGAAAAGGTCAAGGGGCCTATGAATAGGCCATACCCTTGGTGAAAAATAATTCATAACTCGATGGGTTACAATATTTTAAGCAATTATACAAGCCAAGCCCAATGAAAGTTGTTTTGGTTCATTAATCGGAATATGTTTCAGTGCCTAAATTTGATCTATCAGTGTCACACTATCACTTAATACAATGTATCGTTTTTTTTAATTCTAGCTATTGTTATAGGAAATTATCGTAGGATAAAAGTTACACATCATCGCCAGTTATTGGATTCAGGTTGATGACTCCTATATGGCTCTATCAGAGTTGGTTGGGCGTGGGTGTTGAAGTTGATGACCGTAAATGGGTTATTGGGCATTCACATCCTAACCCAGAATGGCCCTACTAGTGCTGATGCATATCCACCCATTTGACACCTTTAGATGACCTTTAAAGGTTTAACAACAAATTAACATTTGTATAAACAAAGGATTAGCACTAAAAACAACTAAAACATGAATGTGAAACCTAGAAAGGAAGGGGTCCAAAAGATTAAACTCATAGTTGAATAAAACATTAGTCTACCAGGGGAGCAGGAGCATCATCAAGTTGAGAAGCCAACTTTGCAGGATATCCATAAAAAATACGAGAACAATCTGTGCTTGCAGATCCAATTCCAATCCCAGCACCAAAAGCTACAGATGCCCATCAAATCACTGGACTCCCTGGTATGACAAATCAAAATGCGTCAATATTACGAATTCAAGGATGAAAAAAAAAAAAAAAGCAAGCACAGAAATGGAAAGGCACAGAACTAATAATGCTTGGATAGAAGACTACTATAAAAATTCAATGCAATTCAAAAGGGAAGAACTCAGTATACTGTCTACAGCCCACATAAACATCTAGTAAAAGTTAAAATGCATAATCACTTTAACTATTTCAGTTTTGCTGAGTAGGAATGATGGAAAAGTTTTAACTTAATGGTTAAACTACAAAAGAGGAAAGTGGTTATGAATATCTATACGCATACATTTAAAATTTCAAAAAGCAAACACTACCAGGACATAAGCCATGATGCATGTGCTGAGTACAAAACGGCACTGAAAGTATCTAACGAAACAATTACAAGAGTTTTAGCATTCAAAACAGACTTAGCATCATCCCCGTTCTGACATTATACGGCATAATATATAATCGGTACTGAAAAAAATAAGCATGGAAAAATGCTGGCAACCAGAAAATCAGAAAACAGTATCTGTAGAACCAATTAGGCCAATCTGCAATGGTTAACTACCACAGATCATAAAACCCATAATTTTAATCATCTAGCTCAAATCTTTAAGTTAAAAATACTAAATTCTACTTATTAAGCACTATTCATTTTAACAGTTTAGCAATCGAACACTTCAAGACCAATATCTTAAAAGAAAAAAAAAAGAAAAAAGGATTAATTTGGTGAAAGAGAGACAAACTGAAGAAAAGGAGGCCGCCAAAAGCGCCAACCAAGGATTAATAAACGAAGCCGCGGACAGTCAGACCGAGGCAGGCGTCCCATTTTGCGTTATCGTCATACTTTGCCGGCAACAATCCCTTGCTCTCTGCCATTTGCTAGCTTTTTTTCTTTTTTTTTTTTTCTGTTACTATTATTGTTGTTCCTTTTTCGTATAGTTGATTGATTCCTGCTTTTCCTTCGTTTGTATCTGATTTTTTTTGTTGGCCAACGACGATTGTCTTATGTGGGGAAATGTGATTTTGTGAGGAAGAACCTTTCCGTCTTCCTAAATTTTTGAGAATCGGTAAAGGTGGCAAACGGATGGTCCGGTCGGGTTTGGCTAGGGTGGGTTAGATTATTTTCTAATATAGGTGTAAGTGACAAATCACAGTAACAATATTATACTAGATCGGGTATTCTTCTAAAAATATTACTCCCATTAATTTTTATTTCTTTTTCTTTTTTTTTTTTATAGTTTTTATAGATCTATTTCTCTGATTTTTTCCTATCTCATTTTTTTGTCTAATTTTTTTTCATTGAAATCGATGCAGGTACGATTCAAAAATGGTTGTAATAAGACAGTTACGTGCCGTCTAATCACACCCAAACAACAAAACTTACGTCGATTGCAGTCAAAAGAATGCCCGATAGGGCTCGGTTTCGTACGATAGTTTCATATGCTTATAAGGCTTTGAGAAACAGAGAGGTGTTTTGGTCATAATTATTAATTTTGTTTTAATATTGGTTATATCGGTTGAAACGTTTCAGCTATATTAAAATATAATATATTTAAAAATAATTTTTTGTATTAAATTTAATAAAAAGTAATAGTGATTACATAGTTGATACATTTCAGTTATATTAAAATATAATATATTTAAGAATATTTTTTTGTGTTAAATTTGATAAAAAGTAATAGTGATTACATCAGTTGATACGTTTTAGTTATATTAAAATATGATATATTTAAGAATAATTTTTTGTATTAAATTTGATAAAAAATAATAGTGATTATTTTTATTAGTTTTGATCTATTTCGATGAATTTCAGTAAAATAACATATTTCAATTCGTATAAAAATATTAAATATATTTTGTAATTTTAATTTATCTTTTATTATTTAATTATTTTTAACTTAATAAAAATAAAATTAATTGATAAAATAATCCTTAAAAATTGAGTTTATTTTTTTTACTTTTTAATGCTTTATTTTTTCACACCAAAGTTTATAATTTTATATTTTATTTTTTCAAACTAAAGTTTATAAGTATTTTAGTTTTTTCAAGAAAACAATTATACTCCATTTATAAAATTTAACAATCATAAAACTTTGATTAATTTTTTTCATCTTTTTGTTTTTGTCTTAATATTTATAAGAAAAAATATTTATTTAAATATCATATTATCATATTAAGTGTTTAAAAATATCATGAAAATTTTATGATATCATTTCTTATGTTTTTAAACTTATTTATTTGATTTGAATATATTACATATTTATTTTGTGGCTTATTAATAATATTATAATATACAAGTTCATGCATGTTTATAAATATATTTGTACTAAATTGAAAATTTTAAAATAATATATTGAAATAACCGATGCTGATATATACCATATTTTTTAAAAAAATCGAAATGTTATCTGGTATAATATTAACAACATTGGTTCTGATACTGGCATTCTAGCATTTACTTGTGATACACAAATTATAGCAATAATCACAACCCAAAAAATATAGCAAGGTTAACCAAACTAATGAAATGATCATTAAAATGTAGAAAGAAGGAGAAGAAGAAGAAAATAGAATGAAGAACCAAAATCAAAAGATAGAGAGTAAAATGAATTTTTGTAAATTTCAAAATATACCTACACAGTAACCACCTTTTCCTTTTTAGTACTAGTTATAACCACCTTAAGCCATAATAACAAAAATGCCTTTTATGAGTAAAAACCAACTTTACTTAATAAATAAAAAGATAAAACTGTAAAAAAAGATTTATCATCAATTCAACATGTAACAATATTCCTCTCTTGTAAAGAATCCTTATCCTCGAGGATTGAAACTTGGATATCTTTGTTGAAGGTCATAAAAAACTTCCCATATTGCATCCTCAAGAAAAGTATTAGACCATTAGATTAAAACTTTTGTAACAGCTCTATTTCCCCTTTTCCAATCCATCTTTCAATGCCTTGCAAGGGTTCCTTGCTAATGATGCCGTCATCTCCTACCAAAAGTAGTTGTGATTGAGCAAGAACAACCCCTAAATGTTTATTAAACTGAGAAATATGAAAAGTCGGGTGTATCTTAAAACCAATTGGTAATTGTAGCTTATAAGCCATCTTTCCCACCTTTTCAACCACTTGGAATGGTCTAAAATATTTGGTAGATAATTTCAAATAGTATTTGTTAATGATAGACTTCTGTCTATACAATTGCAACTTGACATACAACCAATCTTCCATGTCAAATTCCCTATCATTCCTCTTTTTGTCTATCTTGCTTTTCATTCTAGCTTGAGCTCTTAGTAAGTAAAACCTAAGCATCTTGATAGTTGCCTCCCTTATTTGCAACCTCTTATCCAAAGATCCCATAATAGAGTCACCAACTAGGTAAGGAAAATGAATTGGTATGGGCTACCAATAGACCATTTTGTAAGGAGTTGTGTGGATGGTTGTGTGGTAATTTGTGTTATACCACCACTCTGCCAAAGCTAACCACATCTTCCATTCTCCAAGCTATTCACTGGATATACACCTCAAATAAGTCTCTAAGCTTCTGTTGACCATTCAGTCTAGCCATCAGACTGAGAATGGTAGGTTGTAAAGATGTTAAGAAAAGTACCATGGTTTTTGAATAGTTTTTGCCAAAAAAGACTAAAAAATATTTTATCTCTATTAGAGACAATGCTATGGGAAATCCCATGGAGTTTGTAAATAATGTCCATGAAAGCTTGAACAACTATTAGAGTAGAAAAAGGATGTGCTAATACAATGAAATTGGCATACTTATTTAACCTATCTACAACCACCATTATAATATCCTTACCATGTGATCTCGAAAGGCTTTCAATAAAATCCATTGAAATGTCATACCACACTTTATCAAGAATGGGTAAAGGTTGCAACAATCCCAAGCTAGTTGAATTGTCGTATTTATGTTGTTGACATACAGAACATTCTGTCACATATCTTTTAACTTCTTTTTTCTAACCTTTCGAGTATAAAACACTGGATATCCTACTTATTGTAAGCTGTACACCTAAGTTTCCCCCAATTAGACTATTGTGAAATTAATGTACCAGTTCTTTCTTCAACTCATGATCATTACCTACAACAAGTTTTTCTTTCCTTTTCAACTAATCTTCATGTAAAACATACTTGCAGTTGGTAAGTGAAGCGCCTTATAGCTCTATAATTAATTTCTAAACTTGAGGATCTTGTTCCCAGGATTTCTTAATTCTTCATACTAAATCTGTATACACAATAGAAATAGCCATGAGACTTAGCTTTTGGTTCCTTGAATTTCTGGAGAGTATATCTACTATTGTGTTGGAAATGCCTTTTTTGTAACCTACCTTATAGTCATAACCCATCATCTTCGTCACCTATAGTTGTTGTGCAAGAGTAGTGGGTTGTTGATCCAACAAGAACTTGAGACTTTGATGATCAGTTTTTATCTTGAAATGCCTCCCTACCAAATATACATTCTATTTTTTAATAGCCATTTAAGCAGCTAATATTTCTTTGTCATAAACAGACAAGATTTGGTGCTTAAAAGATAAGGACTTGTTATAATAAGCTAAGGGTCACCCTCATTGTGTTAAAATTACCCTAACTCCAATGCTTGATGCATTTATTTCAATCACAAATTTTGAGGTGATGTTTGGAAGAGCCAAAACTAGTGTAGAGGTTATAGCTACCTTAAGTCTGTCAAAAGTTTCTTGTACCTTCTTATGCCATCCAAACGTAGCCTCCTTGAACAATTTAGTTAAAAGTCTAGCTATTATCCCATGGCTTTTAATAAACTACCTATAGTATCTAGTAAGCCTCAAGAAACCTTTCAATTCCTTAATAGAATTAGGTGTAGGCTAGTCTAGGACACACTGTTAATTTTTTTTCTTATCCATAAAAACTCCATTGCTCGAGATTACATGCCCTAAGTACTCACCTCTAACGCCTCAAATTCGTATTTACTTTTCTTAAGAAAGAGCTGGTTAACCTCGAAGAGTTCAAGAAATATTCTCAAATGCTCCAAATATGATTCCCAATTAATAGAATATATCAATATATCATCAAAGAAAGCCAACATAAATTTTCTCAAATGAAGGTTTAAAATGTTGTTCATCAAACCTTGAAAAGTTAATGAAATGTTAGTTAATCCAAAGGGCTTCACTAGAAACTCATAATGGCCTTTATAAATCCTTAAGGTTGTTTTATGTACATTAGTTTCATGCATTCTAATCTAGTGGTATCCAGACCGTAAGTCAAGTTTAGAAAGCATGCTTTAGCTAGTTCATCTAACAGCTCTTCAACTAATGGAATAGGAAACTTGTCCTTAATTGTCAGTTGATTCAATTGTTTGTAATCAACACATAGCTACCAAGAACTATCTTTTTTTTTTTACCATGACTATTGGAGAAGCAAATGAGCTATAGCTATTCCTTATTAGTCTAGCACCAGCATCTTTTTTATCATCATTTTAATCTCATTTTTTGTATTGATGGATATCTATAAGGCCTAATCCTTACAATCTAGCTTTAATCCTTCAAAGGAATTCTATGATTTTGTAATTTATTTGAAGGCAATCCTTTAGGCAAGTCCAATAACCCCTTATAGATTTGTAACAATTGGGATCTCCTAGTGATGCTTAACAATCATATTCAATTACATATGAGTTTTTCTAGAAACCAATAGAGTATAAGGACTATAATAAAGATGCACCAATAAAGATTCCAATAGTTTAAAAGCTTGTTTCTCATTCATCATATGTACCTTTGCTGGCTGAATTCCTTTCAAAATTGTCCACTACCCTCCATTCTTGAATTGTATAATCAAGTTGGTGAAGTTAAACAAGATTTTCCCCAAGGTTATTAGCCATTGCAAACCAAGGACCATATCATACCCCTTCAAGGGTAAAACTATAAAATTTATCTTGAAAACATTTTCTTGAGCTGATCAGCTTACATTTTCATAGACTTCTTGTGTTAAAAGACTTTTACTATTTACCACTATCACCTTGTTTCTACCTTTGTCTACACATACAATCCTAAGGTTTTTAATAATGAACTATCTATAAAGTTATAGGTGCTACTCGATTCAACTAGCATAATCATTTTATGGCCATTAATAATCCCACATACCCTCATAGTTTGATAAACTAAAGTACCATAAATTGCATGTAGAGTAATAAAAGGTGCCATACTCCTTCTTATGTTAACAACCACTAATTCATAA